ACAACGAGAAAGTGAAAAGATTGGGTTTTATTAAAACCGTTGAGCTCGTCGTATTTTCAAGCTCTGACATTCACCTTGATACTGCATTGATCTGCAATACAACGTACATTTCATTGGGAGATCACAAACAGAATGCGATGTCCTTAAAAGAGAAAAATACTGATGTTTCTATTTAGCTTTAAAAAAAGTGACCATGTGTCAAATAATTTTGACATGAAGACAATATCCAAGGTAATACTATCTATAATTTGTTATAATCAACATGAGAACAAATGCAAGACATTTCTTCCGTGACGAAATTAACGGAAGAGATTTCTTGTGTATCTAAATAATCTAAAAAATATGTATATTCTATTCATTAATGCTGTCGTGTTGTTTGCATCACTGTTAAACTCTTATACTAACAAAAAATAACAGACACCAGAAAAAGTTTTTTATTGCAATCAAGATACATGTTCGAATAAAAATCTATGCTATAACATATTATTCTTTTTAATTAATAATAAAGCGATATTTCTGTTTAAAAAAACACACATGATGTAGAAATGAGGATTTTCTGGCGTTTGGGTTTCGGCTTACATATATGGGCAAAATATTGATGCCACTAATAAAGTAAGGAACAATCCGATCTTGAATTTTCTTTGATTCAGCACACAGATCCTCAAATACAGCTACTGTACTTCGTTCTGGTGTGAATTTAGTTATATCTGGAATCTTATCTGGTGCCATTTTTTTAAATGTAACGTTCTTTTGATATTGTTTAGAGCTAGTTGCGACAACTAGTCTGAACTAATTACCATTTCGGCTCGAAATGCTTACCTATTAATACAAGATCATCATTTTTAATATACCGATTGCTTTTCTATTCCTTGAACATTCGTTGTAATTTATTACCAAGCGTAAGATTGATTACCATATTTGTCTTTCCGCTATGCAAACCCCCGCAAACTAATAATCTGAACGGTCACTCGGGGGTGTATCTGTCTGTTACCCCTTATTTGTGTCAAAGATTCTTTAGGCGTTTCGTCTAGTTGATATACATTTTTTCCCCCTCATCTCGGCCAAGGCACTAATTAGTATACCTGAAAAATAATGAACTAGTATTACTGTTTTTAACAGTGTATATACTGTATTACTTGCGAGTTTCGAGTCTCTGACTCATCTGATCATTGTGTTTCGAAGAACAAGTCGCCACATCCATAACGATAGCAATGACATCAGAACTCCCTACTATTAAACCTGTTTTTTTAAAACAATTTGTTGTAGCCTATACAAATAAATAACAAAGTTATTAGCAGTTACTCCACCAGGGACTGCCACAGTATATCCAGCTAAATTTAGAACTCTCGCATTAATGGGTGGACCCCAGATACCGGAATGGTAACAGTGTGTCAGCCAGTAGGTTATTTACTGTCAAATTGTGCTGTCCCGAAGTTCCACTATACTCCACTGACTGATATTCCAACCCTATTACTATATCCAAATTATCGTCAAAAACTTTTTACCGTATAGCAAATTTTCGCCTTCATCACTTGATGCTCGATCTTAACCTAGTATGTCGATTCTTCGCCGTTTGCGAGCATCTTTCCCAAAGTAATATTCTTCTATTACCTTTTCTGGTAAGTTTTATGGAAATTTTATGCGACCAATTTTATATTCATATATTGTATCGTACCCCTCATAACCAAAAGACTAAATGTGCCACAGCATTTTGTTCTGTTGTTTATTGACAAAAAAAATAGTAAATAAGATAAATTATAATCGAAGGATAAATACATATTGATAACGACTCGCTATAGTAATTTTTTTTAACATAAGTCTTGCTATTTTTTTGTCAAGTCTTTTTTTTTTCACGGGAAAAAAAAAAGTCGCTTTCGAATGTTCGCTTGACGTTCGCTTACCGTTATTCCAAGTACAGTCGTACCCTTTATAAGCACCTACTATATAGTTACCACCCCCATGTAGTCACACTTTTGTTGGAACCAACCGATTTTATAATAAATTTACCCCTATTTAGGCACATTTTGACTATAGTCACTATCACACTCTTCCTAATAACAGATATATGTAAATTTCCTCCTCTTTAGTCACATCACGTGAACAAAGTATTTACAGGCATATGATTATTATGTGTTAAGGTTTGGCGTTGCTTCTTCACTCAAAAAAAATGTCACAGAAAACAATAAGAACATCTCATCAGTGATGCACTTGAAAATGAGATTTGTATTTTTCATATGCATAACAAGACTTTTAAACAAAACGAAATTGCAAATTACTTTATAATCTCAATCGACTATCAGTAAAATAATGAATAAAAAAGATAAGTGGCTTTCTATTGAAGGGAAGGAGGTTTCTAACAAGATTTTTAAACATCGTAAAGTCAAGTTTCAGATTCTGACGAAGAGAACGAAGAAGTAAGACAACCGGTGTCTAATACGGAGGCATTAATCCATCTGAAAAGCATCATCCGATATCAGGAGCAATCAGCTGACAAAGTGTTTACCTCGAATGAATTGTGAATTGACTGTTCTTCGTCGTAAGATATCTGTTCTTGAATGTTTGATAGATGAGAGTAAAAAAAAACAATGCTGGATTCCTTTTTCGAGAAGTGATATATGTTATGTTCAGCCGTTGGAGAAACGGGTTTGTCATTTTATTAGTTATACGGAATTTTTCTCTGTGTGATTCGCAGGGATGTTTTGATAGACGTTTAACAATCTCTTCGTGATTGAGATGGTGTATCTAGTCTTTAGTATATGGTAAGAAAGTCTTACTTGCGATAATCAAGTAATTATTTAGGGCAGTGATTTTTGTCCGTTTAGGCAATATGATAAGCTCTATGCGGTTGAAGAAAGCAATATTATGCATAAGATCATGATACAGTTATTTACTTAATGATTTCGTCAACTCTCTTTATAACGACCTTCTTTATACCGACTGGTGCCCTATAATGATCACATGTGCTTTGTCACTTTCAATCGCTATTAAAATCAGCTGTTTATACCGACCAGTCTTAGTATTTCTTTATACAAAAGTCCGACCGACTGGTCAATTAATAAACAAATTACCGTATACTATAAAATACATTTGTGAAACTCTTTTTACAGTGATCGGTAGTACAATCGATAATAATTTTTATATAGGTAAAATTTATAATCAGGATATTCTCCAACACTCTTCACAATGAAATGGACAAGAAAACAGCTAACGGGTGCGCAAAACTGTAATAAAAAGGAGAGAGGAAAGAATTCAAAATTATGCTAATGGAAAGTTAACAGTACACCATTCAACAGAATAGTGATATTTTGAAAATTTTATTTAAGCCTGCTGTTTATTACAATAATGACATTACATAATATATATTTGTACTACCACTACATATAACGACCGCTGCATATAACGACCGATTTTGCCCAGCCCGAGGCGGTAATTATAAAGAGAGTTGACTGTATATAGTTTTGCACTCCCCTATAGTCACCGGTTTTTTGGCGGACTATAAGGGGTACGACTGTATTACAATCATACTTGCTAGTTTTAGCCTCAAATAATTATAAAATTTATCCATTGCATTAATTTACCCACGTGTAGGTCAACCAAATATGTTATTATTATGGTACACAAACAATTAATAAACACATCATCACAATCAATAAACAGATTAGGCCTATATTAATATGGAAATGCAGTTGGTAAACAGATTACGTATGTCTAAAGTAAATATCACACTAGAAAGTTTGTACATTAAAAACTGTAAGTATTTAAAGATACAAAACAACAAAATACGTCATATACATCCCCATGGCGTCGCATTTATGTTACAACTTTATAGCGTAAAATAAAAACTATACGCCATTTTTCTTCCAAATCACTTTCAGTAGACATAAAACCAAACAAACCAATGCATCGATTTGCCTTATCATGACATAAATGAAACCCATACGCCACCTTGCCTCTCCCCATAATCGTAAAAATGAACTAATTAATACGTCATATATCGCTACAATATGACTTCGGCCAACTATCTTCCCTATAAAAAGCCGCTTCAAAATTAACCATCAATAACAACTTTCGAAATTTCACATTAAACTGAATAACCAATATCATATAAACTAAATACAAACCAACCATGCTTGTACACATTATTCAACTGCTGTTCACATATTCGACGTTAAAGTCGAGGACAAAACAGAGACGAAACCATTTAAAGCGAATTGGTGTCTTTCTCAAAGAACCAATCCGCATGTACCAAAAGAAAATTCTGATTGGCTTGCAACAACTGCATGACATCACAAATCTCAGTGACCAAGTAATAATCTAGGTACTCAAATTGGATTATATTTACAACACTTTTTAACGAAAATCCATCATATCCACTGTAGGTAAATGCGTTCTAGTGTCGCGTCTCTGCCAAAGCACCAAAATTAATGCCATGTGCTCGTACTTGGCTACTACGAGCCATCGGAGACATAAAAACAACCGCACAAATATATCATAATATGACGACTTTTACCGTAAAGGCTATTCAATACGTTTCTGGAAGTGGCCCACTGTTTGCTGAATTCGACATAATTGTTCGCTACAATGTATCAAAAAAATTTTTATATGAACGAACAAAAAAGGCCAAATTGGGCTTCAAGGTTTCCGTTGTAGGAGAATTGGATGTACACGAAGATAAATTATGTGTAGAACTTCATAACTTCAAATACACCCCATCCACTACACCCTCCATCATCATCCGTTTCAGAAAAGAGAGCTGTACTCTAAACAAATACAAACAACCAGCCCAAAAAGCTCAAGACGGTCGAAAATGACAATAAAGAAACAAGCAAATCATTCACTCCCTCCAATATCAACTCAACTAACGAAACCCCTCCCTATCAATCAAACAAACCCTTCTCAATCCCGCCAACCATGCAAAAGACAATTACGTTCATCTAACAATGCCGCGACTTCACTATGAACAAAGCAAGTGACAAGTGGCAAAGGCATTGCTATCAGGTTTAAAAGAAACGATTATCTGACACGACTTCTGATGATATACTATCACCCACAACGCCTTCGGTCTCCGATACATCATCCAGAACATCAATACCATTAGTGACAGCTGGTGTCAAAAGAAAGAGGAAGGTTGGTATCGATACTAGCGTAAATTAGCTTATCCAAAATGACTGGTAAAAAACTTTCATCCGCTATGGGCATTGAAGCTGTCCAAAGGCTCGGTATCATTGTCGGCAACTCCGTGATGTGTCATTGGCAACTGGATTGAAGGCGGATATGATAACCATCAGAGACATGGTAGAAATTGAATAATATAAGGATGAAAAAAGCGCCTTTTCAAGTATCCAAATCAAAGCTTCCCCTTCTCAAGAAAGCTTCCCTATCGGATATGGCTGCTGTAAGTACAATTATATTGTCCATTTAACGATTTATGTCACATTTTGACAATATTGTTTCTGATGTACTAGTGGGATGGTGCTTCGTCATCTCAATGATCCATCAAGCAATGAAGAAGGAGATGAAACGTATCTGAACAATATCGTCATAAGGCAAAGAGCTGAGAGGAGGGCTGGGTGGGACTAATATAGAGTTTACTTATGCAATGTGCAGAATTTGCCTAGACCCAACATACAGTGGTATGGATGTAAGTGAGCTAACGTTAAATGAAATGGACCAAATAAGCGCTTAATTAGAAAACGTTTACAATTGCAAACACCGCGTTTATTCAGCAATTAGACGTCTATACAGTTTTCGTGATGGTGAAGGCGCATTGCCGAGAAAATTTATTTGATACATTCATATACATTTTGTTGAGGCGCGTGACGAGATTCACGTGAATAATTTCACAGTGTCTATTGTACAGCCCAATGATGGAGTGACACAAAATTTTAATAGTAAAAGTCTTTCTTTTTAAAAATATCTCCTGCTCTTGTGTACTAATGCTTTTCGAGAAAAATAACAATAAAATTTTATAAGTTATCACTATTAAGCTGTAGCAAGTTGAAGCAGCTGTCTTTAAATCACGATATGAAAATATATGATTATATATGTATAGCACGTATACTCACACTTCGTCCGAGCTATTAACTTATAACGATAATTTATAATAATTTACTGGTTTTTTTTTTCAAAAGCATAATCAATTAGCTTCAGAACCATACAAAAATTATTGCACTTCACATAGTATACAAGAGCAGGAGAGATTTTTAAAAAAATAATAAAGACAACAAAAATTGACAAAGGAGTCACACGCTCTTAAATTCAGAGAATACGTAATAGAGTAATTACTAATGAAACACCACATGGAAACTAAATAGGTTTTATATGTTTTACTATTGAAATTTTGTGGCACTCCATCATTTATTGGAGGGGGCTGTACGCGTGATAATGATCAAAGATTTTCTCGGCGAAGATCAGAATTGCTGATGAAATTTTCACGGAACGAGCACTTCTGCTTTTTTCTCCTTTTCTCCTTTTGCTTCACGTTTCTTTGTAAACCTATACATAAAGCGAAGCCATAAAAAGCCCAGACATGGAAAACCCAAATGTGTTGGTTTTGTACCGTTTTTTTATATGCAATTTTGTCGTCTAATATAACAAAGATTTGATCAAATGGCCAGCGCGCATAATCAAGCAGACCATTAATTTTTGTTATTTTCAATGATTTCTGGTAAGATTAATATTTTATTAGTTTTGCTTGATTTTTGCTTTGCCCGTACATAACCAGCGCCGTACTCTATTCTATATGATTTGTAGTGAGTCTAAGGAAACTTCACCAACATGATCTTTGAGATAACTTGACTCAGTTTATCCACTGTATCAGCAGTCTGCTTGTCAGTTAGTCGCTCTTATATGCTTGAAAGGCAACTTTAACCAAACATGGTATTGAGCTATCGATGGTTCATAAGCCATCAGATGGCTATATGGTTATTACTCTTTTGTTGCGAAATTTGTGTTATCACTTCCAAATATTCGATTTTGACACTTGTTATTGGTAATTCAATATAGCAATAGTTTATATTAGTACCATTAATAGAATGTATTGCGTCTATTCTTGGAGAATTCGACGTTGGAAATACCCTAACTAATGTTTACTATATCAATCGTTTAGTCTGGTTCGATACATCCGTACAAGAATGGCAAACTCACATAATTGATGCTACAAATAATTTGATGAAACAATTGTTTACCTTTAACAAAGTTGACGTAAAGTAAATTTTTGTCCTCATCACCTGAACTATAGTCTTACCATTTCTGTAAAATTGTTTAATCTTAGTGGTAGATGCGAATATAATCAGTAAAGCGACATTTTCCCACTAACCTCGTATTACCTTTTTCGTTAATTGTTAATTGCTATTATATCATCATTTTTTATATCTATTCTTTATCTTTATACCTCATCTTTATCTTTTTTACCTTACTATTATCTTTATCTTTATCTGATATAAGCATGATCTTCGCCCACCCAACCACCCTTAGAACAGCAGTTACATTTATAGGCAGAGGAGGGAGAATGCGTATGCGCCACAAAATTTATTATTTTTATTCTATAGTCTATATACGCTGTTTATAATAAACTTAATACATTATACGTTCATAGTTAATAAAATAAAAATAACAGTTTTGGGATACGTAATTTACCATAAATCTTTTTGCTTGCAATCTCTATTACACACTCGTAAGTACGCATTGTTATTAGTCATGTTAACGATATAATAACACCACATAAACGTTCTCACAACTCTATCAATTAACTGTTCGCATTCACTATTAATTGTTACGGCAAGCCGATCTAATGACTCAGATAAGCAATTCAATATCTTCCTCCGCAGTCATGCAAAACCCCATGATTAATGTTAATTTAGAATGGTAGTGCGGCGTCGCGCATTTTCAGTGTCAGATGCACCGTGTCGAATTTTGAGTGTCAGCACAAACGCCATTAGCTAACTTAGAATATGGTTAGGTCTTCATAGAAATTACAATTATTTAATTATTTTAGCTCCGTTTCGATTTTTGAGCGTCGCTAAAGGTATATAAGCGACCCTTATCCCATCGTCGAATTCTTATGTTGTTCATGTTGTTCATGTCATTGCTACAATAATAAGTACCTTCCATGGAAATAATAATCAAATAAATGATTCCCTTTGAATCGAAATTTTACTTTCCTTCATCGCTGAAATATTAATTATTTGACCGGACACACTAATAAACGGCTCCATCAAGCTGTATAAGTTGTCCGCTGATCTATTACTCTTAATTGAGGAAGAGAGCTTATAATTAATTATTGAAAACGATTATTGTTTAATTAGTTATATTAGAGGCAAGTGACGAATCCCCGACGTCGGAACACCAAATCAAAGATAACCCTGTTTAATTATTAAATAAGATTTTTTCCCCTTCGATTCTACGGTAGAATAATTGTTGTTGTTATTCTATCGTAAGTACCCTTATTTGGAATTACGAGTGATTGGAGCTCAAATATGGAGTTAGGAAGCGCGCATTTTTAATTATCACTTGTATATTAGAATTCAGTCTTAATTGAACAACTACCGTAATAAGGGCGGTAGCACAAAGCTAATCTGGCAACATCCCCCGGTCGGAAGAACACCCCTACGCGAAAGATTAATCGCTCTCCCAAAACCCAGACCATCCGACTGTAACAATATTAGTTTGTATTCTAAAAAGATTAAAATATAATACGCTTTTAACGCAAAGCTATCTAATTTCAAGTGCGTGTTTGAGCTGCTAAGAGGCCTAAAATTAAAAAAAGTCAATTGTTATCATAATTAATCAAATGGACACAAACAATTGCCAATATTAATATGTTTTTATATCAAGATTATCTAATGACGTTATATTTACTAAAATTCAATCAGTGGAGTGGTTATTAAAAAAACAAAATGCTAAAACCTTTCAAATGTTTAAAATGAGCTCATACAGTATAACCTAAACTAAATGGGTTTAATGTAATCATATTAAGCTCACTAATGCTAATAATACATATAATTAATTTACTGCCACTCAAAATTTTGTAAGCTTTTTTACTTATTTTGTTTGGCTATTTTTTGCTTTGATACAACTTGTTTAATTCTTGAACCTTCTTTTTTAACTTAGATTTATCATCATATTATAAAATATAAATCCTATTTCGTGCCTTAATATATCCTTGTTCAGCTGCCTTTTGATATAGCTCAATTGCTTTGCATTCATTTTCTTCTACTCCAATTCCATTTTCATAAAAATAACCAAGATTATATTGTCCATATGCATTCCCTTGTTCAGCTGCTTTTTGGAACAATTCAATGGCTTTTTGAATATCTTTTTCTACTCCAATTCCATTTTTGTAACATATACCAAGATGAGTTTGTGCAAAGGCATTTTTTTGACTGACTGCTTTTTGATACAGTTTAATTGCTTTTTTAAGATCTTTGTTCACTCCATACCCCTTCTCGTAATGCTGACCAAGATTATACTGTCCATAAGAATTTCCATCCCTAGCAGCTTTCTGAAATAATTCAAAAGCTTTTTGATAATTTATTTCCAATCTGAGACTACCTTGATAATAACGACCAAGATTATTTTGTGCATTAGCATCTCCTTGTTCAGCTGCTTTTTGACACCATTCAACTGCCTTTTGTTCATCCCTTTCTACTCCAGTTCCAAAATAATAACACCAACCAAGATTACTTTGTGCATAAGCACTTCCTTGTTCAGCTGCTTTTTGATACCATTCAACTGCCCTTTGTTCATTCTTTTCTACTCCAATTCCAATTTGATAACACCAACCAAGATAACTTTGTGCATGAGCATTTCCTTGTTCAGCTGCTTTTTGACACCATTCAACTGCCTTTTGTTCATCCTTTTCTATGCCAGTTCCAAGGCAATAATAATTACCAAGATTATTTTGTGCACCAGAATTTCCTTGTTCAGCTGCTTTTTGATACCATTCAACTGCCTTTTCTTCATTCTTTTCTACTCCAATGTGATAATGACAACCAAGATTATTTTGTGCATTAGCATGTCCTTGTTCAACTGCTTTTTGATACCATTCAATTGCCTTTTGTTCATTCTTTTCTACTCCAGTTCCAAAAGAATAACAATAACTTGTGCATCAATATGTCCTTGTCTAGCTGCTTTTTTATACCATTCAACTGCTTTTTGATCATCCTTTTCTACCCCAGTACCATTTGCATAACACAAGGCAAAATCATATTGTGCACTGGCATCCCCTTGTTCAGCTGCTTTTTGATACCATTCAACTGCCTCTTGTTCATCCTTTTCTATTCCAGTTCCATTATGATAACACCACCCAAGATTATTTTGTGCAGCAGCATTTCCTTGTTCAGCTGCTTTTTGATACCATTCAACTGCCTTTTGTTCATCCTTTTCTACTCCAGTTCCAAAATAATAACACCAACCAAGATTACTTTGTGCATAAGCACTTCCTTGTTCAGCTGCTTTTTGATACCATTCAACTGCCTTTTGTTCATCCTTTTCTAGTCCAGCTCCATTCTCATAATACCACCCAAGATTAAATTGTGCATTATCATGTCCTTGTTCAGCTGCTTTTTGATACCATTCAACTGCCTTTTGTTCATCCTTTTCTACTCCAGTTCCATTATCATAACATAAACCAAGGTTATATTGAGCACTGGTAACTCCTTGTTCAGCTGCTTTTTGATACCACTCAACTGCCCTTTGTTCATCCTTTTCTACTCCAGTTCCATTCTCATAACACCACCCAAGATTAAATTGAGCACTAGCATGGCCTTGTTCAGCTGCTTTTTGATACCATTCAACTGCCCTTTGTTCATCCTTTTCTACTCCAGTTCCAAGGCGATAATAATTACCAAGATTAAATTGTGCATCAGCATGTCCTTGTTCAGCTGCTTTTTGATACCATTTAATTGCCATATGTTCATCCTTTTCTGCTCCAATTCCAAGACAATAACAATTACCTAGATTAAATTGTGCATTAGCATGTCCTTGTTCAGCTGCTTTTTTATACCATTTGACTGCCTTTTGTTCATCCTTTTCTACTCCAGTTTCATTCTCATAACACAAGGCAAGACTATATTGTGCCCTAGCATTTTCTTGTTCAGCTACTTCTACTTCATTTTCAGAGATAGGAGAAACCATGTTTTCTGCAATACAATACAATTGTGCAATAGTCAGAATTTTTTGTGGACCGTTGATAATACTAATACTAAATTAGCTAACCAGACGTATTCTCTCTGATTTTTGTGTAACCCCGACGGCATTAGTCGAACACCGAGTGGGGATCAGCATAGTAGACGAAATATGCTGCGCTGCAATGACATTTGACAGTGCTGTAAATCGGAAGCAAGACAATCAAGACGTAGTTTTATTATTATCTTGTTCATGAACGAGTAATACATTTACTCTGATATACACTTTTGACCTTAGTTTTCTGAATTGATCAGTATAGCGCTAATCCCTATATCGACGAAGGCTAATCGCCTCTTGTCCCGTAATTATCCGAGTGGCATATTACTATTGTGAACGTGTTTATCAATCCCACGATAGGAATCGTGAATTTATTCGAGGACAATTAAATTATCTAGGATTAGTATCGCTTCTTGACATAATATAGTCGTAAGTGTAGAAGCCTTGAAGTTTGAAGGTCATTAACTATACAAGTAGTTTAACTATTGATAGGAGAAGCCATGCTCCGCTCGAGAATAGCTAAATTCCAAGTGCCAGATTATCAATCGCTCTCCCGTGATGGTTGGCACAACACCGTCAACCTATTTGTTTGAATATGTGCATGATAGATTAGGATATTATAATTCGAGCGGAGATCTAGTTTATTTTTTTTAGACCTCCTATGGGAGAGTATCTTTTGGGTGTCAATAGGTAGGAATTGGATGGTATGAATTGAGGCGTTGATGCGAGTTTGGAAAATAAATTATTTTTCCTTTTTTTTTGCAAATGAGGGCCGCGTGTTTAATCTTTACAGTCCACTTGCTTGCCTTCTGTTTCGGGCTAACGACGACGTAAATGCAATGGCTTGTTAGAAATTTTCTCACAAAGCCTTTCAATTCTTACATCATTACACAGACTTGTTAACGATTCCCGCAATGATGCGTTTTCTTGCCTTAATCCTAATACTTGCTCAAAGTAGCAGTTGGCACGGGTAATTATGACATGAATGTTCCTTCTTAGACGGTTTATCACTCCAGTATTCTTTTGTTGCACACGTAAAGTGAGAGAATGCTCAATTGATTGTCCGGGATTTCGCCTTCCGTAGCCTAAACTGTTTGGATTTACACCATCGAAGTTTTTCTATCTTAATAGCTTTTTGAGGCGGCCAACAAGCTGGTTTTTCTTAACATCGATAGGAAAAGCGTTACAATTGTATTTCCTTTGATAAAGCAAGACAGTGATAGTAATAGGCATTTCGCGTGTTATATATTATTTTTGCAAAATAATATTTGTGCAAACTAGCGTATGTGAGAAGTGTGATAAAATTTTTGTTTGCGAAAAAAAAAAATCCAAGGTCTAGTATATGTGAAAAATTCTCTGTCGCATAAAATTGCCGTGTGATTTATTTTATAGTTTAATAAATTTGGCGTTTAACCTTTTTTACTGACTCACCCAAGCGTCGAATTATCATTTTCTGAAAAGCTTGTCTCCATACGTTTGCAAAGAAATACTTTTTTCTTCTTTGAATACGCGTTTTCTTTACTTAATTTTGCATCGGTTTTTTTCTTAATGATGTTTATTTATATTCCTTTGTATATTGTTACCGATGTTTGCTGACTATTATACTAACACTAGTTTTTAATGATTAATTCGAACAACGATGCATCTAATTTCCTAACAATGGCGTGATTATGACCTTATCGCTTTCAGCACGTTTCATATTTTTCGTTTGATATTCTTATTAACGTTTCGAGAAAATGTGGTAATAATTAAATAGTAGAAAATGGCACGACGCGGGTTTGTGCAATACTAGTATCATATACATAAAGTGAATCAAAATTTTTACCGCTTGGCTTTATTTAAAACTAACAAGCAATTCCTTCAATGGGGGATATTATCAATAACAATAATTGCCTGAAAAACTCTTTAATTCTGTTATACTTCTTTCCGTCTGATCTTATTAGAATTAATTTCATTATTTGAATATCTCAAATACAGTTTATAGATTAATCTCTGTTAACTGAATTCTCTACACTGTTTGTTGTATTGTAGTTTCTGACACTTTCATAATATCGTGATGGAGGCAATTATTTAATCGACAAATATTCAACTAACATTATTTCGAAGTTATCCTTTTTTGGTAGTTTATTGATACGGGCCCCCCAAATACATCGTTTGGTCAATTGCACCGTCCGCTCTCCACACCTCGCTAAACGAACCGTATTACCATATTGCACTGGTTCAGGGGGGATACTATGGGGTACCGTACAGGGGGGTGCATTAGGGAATTAATCTAAAAACAGAATGCCTATACGCGACAACAAAAATATTCGTTATGCAAATACAACTAAGAAGGTACGACGTCAACGGAATGCATTCATATTATAAAAAAATCTTTCAAATGTTCGGGATGTCAAATAAGAGAGACGGAAGCGAAGATAATTTAATCATTGATCGAGTTGTGCACAGTACCAATAACGACCGATAATTATAGAGGAAGAAGCAGACGCAGTTGATAACTCAAATGTTGACAATGCTAGAGATATGGTTGAAAATGATTATATCTATGCAACGAGAGGAGGGTATGAGGAGTTTGGCAGATTAGCTCTACGGCCGCTATCCTCTTAGACCCCCCCGCGGTATGATGACATGTAAAATGGTTTGTTGTTATTGGGTTTCAATGAACGTGTTTTTGTGTAAAAGTATTATATTATGTTATCAATCCTGGGGGTCACTCTTCAAAGTATAATTGACAAATCCAAGTCGTTGTCAATAGAGGTGCTTCACAGCTTATATCATTCCTCCAACTTGTTACATCGTCTGAATGCTTTCTTATTATGCAACGTTTCTTCGTCAGCATCGTACACCGAATACAAGCCAGCAGCTAAAAACACATTCTAACTCATACATTCTGGCACAGCATGATTTTTCTCACTCTATGTTTCCTCCTTATCTTATACCTCCCACCCTCTTTCCCACCACGCATCATTTCATTATTCCAAACCTACGCGGATCACCAACCATTGAAGTGGCGAATCTTCCGGTCTCGCAATTCCAGCATACGCCCAAATGCCTGTCCACCGAAAGAGCGCGATTTCTCGAGCGACAAACTTTGTTCATTAGTGAACTGTAGTATTTATTGTCGATGCTGATGGGGAGTATTTGGATACAGGGAGCCAACCGTCTCTTGCAAGCCCTGGAGGATAGGATCAAAGATAGGAGAAATAGACGATGGAAACCCGATATGGAGAATATTTTCTTACCATATTCTGCAAGATATACGGGTTTTTCTAACTCTTCCGTAGACCATTTGCTAACGTTTTTTCAACATGAAATTTTCTGCTCGCGAGTAATTCTCCGTTGATGGATCATTTGAATCGTAATATCCACCCAAACGTGAGCACTTTTGCGTAATCTATGAAAGGGGTAAAATTTAATAATCAGTTGTCATTCTGCGTTAGTTTTTCGGGAGTTCTCGTAGTACTCCAATACCATTCCTGAACTCTACAATATCCTTGCCTCCCTCCCTTTAGTTTATGAGCACAACTTTTTCTCATATTCCCTACCCATATGCCTTAGCATGTTATTTCGTACCAAATATTCTTCCCTTCGGCTCCTGTCATCACCAAGTGATTTGCATCCAGATCCTTGATTACCCTTGCACTTTCTTCGATCCATGTCCTGACGATCTCTTTCTCCCATTATCTCCCAAACTATTTGTGGTTCGTTTGCCAACCCCCATGCGAATATTACGGGATCTTCCTTGTATGATTTCCCGTTAAAGGTGTTTCTCCGTGTGAGACTGTCCTAATGTGATGCCGGTAAAGTGATTGGCAAGCCGGATAGATGGAAGGATCGGAATAGAAGCGAAACGCGAAGAGCTCAAAGGCTGTGAAGTCGGGAAGATACGTATTGTGCAAAGCCGCCAGACTATTGCCAGAAGTTTGAGTTTGGATAAAAAAGTTGGGGCAAATATAGGAGAACGGGAAGAGAACGAGAAAAGAGATAATTATCTCGCCTAATGGAAACATCATAACGTATTGGTTAAATAGAAAGTGACAGTATACAAACCATCGTGGCGGCCATATCGAACTTGCTCATTTGATCCAAACCTGAATACACAAGCACATAATAATCATTAAAAAATTCTGCCTTTCCGTTTACCTTCAAATACACTCTCATCATACACTTTTGGTTCCTTCATCAAAGCCGCGGTTTCATTCTGAACGGTTCTTCGCTTCCGGCCATTATGATTCCCATTTCTCCAAATCTTGAAGTACTCTTGCTCTATTTCCTGTCGACATGGATAGATTCATCGCTTGCCAATAGTTGGCGCCGACGAGAAAGTATGGTCCATCTTTCCATGTGAATGATGGAGAAGCTTAAAGCATAGTGATTTTCAAATGTCGATCACGGGAATTACGCCGCCATCGTTGAAATCTTGCTTGTCTATCTTGGAAATCAACACAATTAAACTTGCTCAGTGATTGTACTTGAAACCTTATTCAAACGATGTCGTTAGCATCAGGGACTGTTAATAATCCAGCAATTGACAACTTGATTCAATCCTCCCTACCAAATGAGTATATACTTGAATGGATTCCTTGCTCACAAATTACCGACATAAAGCCAACTCAAATTGACAACGTCCATTACGCTCGTCGTTACAACGATGAGATAATGTTGTTATCACTTGGAAGTAGTGAAGAATGTACGCCAACGTTTGTGAGTGAGTTTGCCAGAATATACTCACTTCCAACACACAAGTACAATAATGATGTCAGTCAATATAGACGATATTCCACCTGGCTTTATTATCGCAACGGACTCATAATGGGATTTATCAGGTATAAAGATAACTATTACATGGCTGCCGATAAACTCTTTTACCACTGTTATTTCCGATATGGATTCTGCTCTTCATGTGGAATACTCCGATGCAATCCCGTGTGGTGCATCTGTGGACATAAACAATTATCCGATGGACGGACTAGCAACAAGCAACTCGATGAGTTTATTAAGAAATCTCAATTACAAACAAACTCACCAAATCATGCCTATTTGGAATGGATTCC